CAGATAAATTTTAGGCACATTTTCTCTAGGTCTGGGAGGTATGTTGGTGGTAGTCTCATAGGAATAGCATTAAATCTATACAACAATTTTGGGAGTATGACCATCTTCACAATGCTGGTTCTTCCTATCCAGGAGCAGGGAATATCTTTCCATTTTCTGAAATCTTCTGTTATCTCTTTTTTCAAAATACTGTAATTTTCCGTGAAAAGATATTTGATTTATTTAGTTAGATGAATTCCCAGATATTTCATTTTCCTCGGTGATTGATTTTATATCCTGTTATGCTACTGAATTTGTCTATTAATTCTAGTAGTTTCTTAGTGGAGTTTTTTGGGTCTTCCAAATAAAATATCATGTCATCTGCAAATAATGATAGTTTCACTTCTTCTTTACCTATTCTTACTCCTTTTATTTTTCCCTCTTGTCTAATGGCTGTAGTTAATGATTCCAGAACTATATTGAAGAGGAGGGGTGATAGAGGACATCCTTGTCTTATACCTGATTTGAGAATAAAGGATTTCAGTTTTTCCCCATTGAGAATTATATTAGCTGTTGGGTTGTCATAAATGGCTTTTACCAGATTGAAGTAGAGGCCTTCTATTCCAATTTTCTGTAGGACTTTGAACATGAATGATTGTTGGACTTTGTCGAAAGCCTTTTCTGCATCAACTGAAATGATCATGTGGTTTTAATTTTCACTCTGTTGATATAGTGTATTACATTTATAGATTTTTGAATATTGAACCATCCTTGCATCCCTGGGATGAATCCTACTTGGTCATGGTGTATGATCTTCTTGATGTTTTGCTGTATTCTGTTTGGTAGGATTTTATTAAGGATTTTTGCATCTATGTTCATGAGGGAGATTGGCCTGTAGTTCTCTTTCTTAGCTGCGTCTTTCCCTGGTTTTGGTATCAGCATAATACTTGCCTCCAGGAATGATTTTGGGAGAACTCTTTTCTTTTCAATTTCACTGAAGAGTTTGAGGAGTGTAGGGATTATATCTTCTATGAATTTCTTGCAGAATTCAGCTGTGA